GTAGATGTGTTTTGTTAATCACATACAGTGGTGTGTTCTGCACCTGACTTCCCTGTGAAGGACAGCTTTCCCCATGTTGCTTGCTTAAGATTACTCATCACAGCTAAATAGCTGACTGTASAATGACCCTTTGACTTGGGTGAAGAAAAAAAGAATGGTATCCTTGAATTTCTAAGGTACACACGTGGAAATTTGACTAAACAATTTTTAAGTGCCCAGGAATGAGAAGAATATAAAATCTTGCAGATTTGCAGACTCTGTAGTTCCAGAAATTTTAAAAAAAGTAGCAGAAGTGGAGACTTGTGATGGAAATCTGACCCAAATGTTACTGGCTTTTTGAATATCAATAGTGCTTTGTACTTTGTCTATATGTATTGATTTAAAAAATACATAGTATCCCTGGTAGGTTCTGTCAATGTTAAGTTAGTGTTGTAGATTTYCTTTAAGTGTTTTTGTCTGTATTAAGTAAACACATCCAGCAGTATGGTCAGAAAATTCCCACAGAATATGTCAGGAGAGACTGTTGCGGTTCGGAAGGATGCGAGGCTGGTGCTGTGCAGATGGACAAGTCTGTCCGATTTCTAAACAGTTAATTTGTCCCGCCTGGGCGCTGCCCGCTGTCCCGCCGCCCGGCGCTCCCGGGCCCTGGGCGCGGCCGGAGTCTGATAAGTACCTGTGTGCACCTCTCAGCAGGAGCTGTGCCGAGCAAGGACAGTGGTAATATGAAACCAGTCTCGTTGGTTTTTGTTCATGGCCCTGGAGGCTGAAATCTGCATTCCAGATGAAACCTGCAGCAAATCGGAAGAGAGCCTCTTTTTTTCCTGCTTTCCTCGGCTTCAAGGGCGCTCACCCGAGTTGGCTCTGCCCGGCTGGGCACGGGGGGCTCTGCAAGAGCTTCAGGAAGTGGCACAGGAAACTTCAGAGTCGCCACCTCGGGTTTCCATTTGACTTTTTTTGGTGATTATGGATTTACAAAAGAAGTTCTTTATCCGAGTGGAAAGACTATGCAAAAGAATCCGTCAGGAATTTTCTGCTGAAAGCCACCCAGCGCTGGCGCACCGGGACAAGGAAGTAGGGAGCAGCCGCGGCGCGCTCGGCCCGGGGGAGCGGCTGCTGTAGCTCTCGGGCGCTGCGGGCTCGGCGCGCCGGGAGCCGGGGGCGCGCAGCCCGGCGGGGCGCGGAGCCCCGGGGGACAGTTGGCCGAGGCTTCAGCCGAGGTTGGTGCTGTGACAAACCCCTCGTGTGCGAGGGAACAAGTTCCAGACGCTGCCGAGAACTTTTTTTTTACGGTGGGTCCKTTTGCTGCTCTCGCGGCGGAGGTGGGAGCCCCGACGGCCGGGGCGGCAGGAGCGGCGGGGCCGGGAGGACGGGGGGGGCCGGCGGCCTGCGCGGGCCGAGCCGAGCCGGGCCGGGCCGGGCCGCCTGTTGCTGCGCCCGCAGCCGGCCCCGCCGGCAGCCTGAATGCACGCAAGTGAGGGTTTGCTCAGCAGACAGCAGCACTGCTGGAAGYGAACCTGCTCTGTACTTCGTTTAACATGGAAGAACATAATGGGATGCCTGACTGTAGTGATCTTTTAGGCCTGAAGAATAGAACAAAAAGCGACCCTGACCCTCTCGCTACATTTTCTGTGAAAACACTGTTTGGATTTACAACTAAGTTTGAATCTACAGCTCCCGAAGAAGAAACAGTGCTGAAAGCATTTCAGCCTTTGCACAACAGTATAAATACTCATGCTAACACCTGGCATGAGAGGAATGATAATGGTTGTAATGAGGACTCAGAAAATCAGCACAGCATGAATAGTACCAGTGACCAGGCTGACCCAATGTCTGGCAGGCAAGCAGGCCTGGAGCTGGAGTTAGCTGACCAAAACGAATTACTTCTTCAGCATTTGGGGTTTGTACAGACTTCTTTGTCTGAATCGGACAATGATGACAAGGATGCTATTCTTGTACAAGGTACTTTGGTTCATACAACAAGTGACACAGAATCGGACACGGAGAATAAGGACCTAGACCCCGATGAGAACAATGCAAGTAAATATGGGCTGAAAAATGCTGCCTTGTCTGCTGAGGCCTTGGACAATAACAGTCAAAATAAGGAAGAGTCAGAAGAGCACAGCAGCACTGATGATGCTGTGGATACAGATGACATTGAGTTACACCCACCATTCTCTGAGCAGTTCCCAAAAGAGCTGGATGATATTCTACAGTATGACTCCAGTGGAAAAGACAAAATGTTAATGGATGAACAATTCACTCGTTTGCTTGCTACAGGGGAATGCCCTCAAGAACTTTCAGATGAAGAACAAAGATCTTCAGTTGATAATATATCACTCCAAAAAACAGCATTGACTGAAAAGACTTTCCAGCTGCCTGCTTTCTTTAGTGGACTACGTGTGAGGAAAAAGGGACTAACCACAGAAGATGGGGAAATTGTTACAGAAATTAAACCAAGGGAGAATGATTTAGCTCTGCTTAAATTACGACAGCCTGTTAAGAAATCCAGTATTGCATCAGGTTTGACCATTAAAAAAAAATCATGTGAACCTAAAGCAAATCCCACTTTCCTAGAACAACTCTCRCATATGTTAAACATAGACGTCTGCAAGAATGAAGATAGAACYGAGGGCTCTGGTGAGGGATCTGGGGAGACTGAGGATAGTGATGAAGCTCAAGAGAACAAAGCCTCCAGCAAAAGAGAACCACGATTTCCCTCTGAGGAGATAAAATCAAGCCCTGCTGAATCTGCACTGGATGCCTTTAAAGCTTTATTCACGCGGCCTCCGAAGAAAGAAACAACTGCAGATACKTCAGAGCTGGAAGCCCTAAAACGCAAAATGAGAAATGAAAAAGAGTCCTTGAAAGCTGTATTTGAAAGGTCAAAATCAAAACCTGGGGATGGACCATCAGACAAATCTGTAGGTTGAATTATTTTTTCTTCCTAAGATCTGGAAGTAGAAGGATAAAAAACTAATTTCTTGTTTAAATATTATTGGTGGGGAGTTAAGCTCAAAATGTCAGAATTGCCCTCTACTTCAGGCAGTCTCAAAGTTTAGATTCCCAGCCAAGGATATCTTGGGGTTAATTTGTYAAAATTTTGGATCATCTGGCGTTGTAGCAGAATTGTGGCAGAATTCAGCTACAACGATGATGACAGTAAGAGCCTCTCAATTGGAAGGGAGAACTTTAAAAATCTGTTTCTGATTTTAAAAGATCTCTACAYAACAGTTCTCTCATATGTTAATTATGGCTCTAAATCAGTTTGATGCTGCAGATATTTACTGTAGTACTATTTAATAGTTTCTCAGTCTCACTTGTTTTTAATTGAGTATTTTATTTTTAAAAGTAGTATTTTCTTTTACCWGTAGGAATAATTTTATGATAAGYGCTGATAGAAGAATTTGTAGGTGATTTTCAGCTCCGTTTGTCAAGRCATAGAATGTGAAGTAATTATTTTTTCTTGTTTACATGCATATGTCTGGCTTTTCAAATATTGATAAGCATTTAACTTCATCYGAGTGTAACTCGGTGATTTCAATGAGACAACTCAAGTTTTTGATTAATATAAGTGTTTGCAAGGTTAATGCTCTTAGGCATATGGAGATGTAGTTAGTATATTTTTAAGAAAAAACAGCGCAACGTTTGCATACAATCATAAATTACTTTGAATGTGATTTGAACTCTATAATTAAATGAGTAACCTTCGGGTTGGCATTCCCTCAACCTCAAATTCTTACAGCCACATCTTTGGCAGAAATAATGAGCCCAGGAGACTGTTGTTGGCTGAATGGGGAATTATTGAATGATTAATTTTCAGGATTGGACCTTAAACCTGAAGCTACTTGAATTAATTTACTGTGTTGGTTATACTCTCTTTAAGATTTTTATTCTTACATAATATAAAAAAGCATGTWAAAGTCTTTGCCAACACTTGGTTAGACTGATAATACCAGTTTGTAGTAAATTACCTRTGGGGAGCAGAAAATTGGTATTCATTGGCTGTGGCATGTGCAGCAGTTGCAGTCTGTGTGCCCTTCCCATTCCTGGTTTGCTCCTTCCTGCTTACACCAGTCGCTGTGCTGGCGTCAGCGTTCGTGTGGCTCACAGCAAACCTATTTGCAAAGCTGTCATCACACACAGTGAGGGAGGAGGCACAGGAGTCAGCAGGAGTGGCTTTTAGAAATGTCTGCTTAATGTTCAGTCTGGTGAAAATCTATTTTCTCAGGGCAAAGCCAGAGTCCAAGGGTCTTGTCTTTCCTTTCCTTTGCTCCTGTGGGCCATTTATGGGGCCATGTCCATATAGGGTTTAACTGTTGGTGCAGTTGTGTCTATGCAGTTACTTGTAGTAACATSTTGTAAATCAGATTACAGAAGTATTTGAGATGTAAAAAACACTAGAAAAAACTCCTCTAAAAGAATGGGAGTGGGTCAGTCCCCCTCCACTCCTTCCCCTTTTAAAGAGTTATTTTAGCATTCCAGTTGACAGTGCAGTCCCATTAACAGCTGCAGCATTACTTTGATGTGACAGTATTACCTGGTATGTGGGCTGAGCAATCTGCTGGGGGTGGGGCAGGAATTTCATAAACTAGCTCTRCTTCCAGAAAATTATATTGTCAAATGATATCTTAGTTGAATTGCTCTAATGGTTACTTGTAAGAGGAGCCCAGATGGSTCTTTACGCTCTGGAATAAAGATACAGGAAAAAACCCAAGCAGTTTCGACCACCTGTGTGGTTCACCGAAGGATCGACAGCTCTCCACAGTGATATGAACAGTTTCAATAAATCGTTGTATGTCACATGCATTATGTCACTTTCCTCCTCAAAAATATTTTTCTACACTGATTTATTTGTATCCCTTTTAACTGAGTGCTGTTTCAATTAGTAGAATGAGACAGATAATCTTTCTGGAGCACATGTGTAGAGCTGAGAGTGGCAGTTGCTGTTTGGAATCAATTGATACTGCAGACTTTAATTTTTTCTTGCGTAATTTTAACAGCCTGACCTGAGTCCCTCAGAGCAAGATGACAAGACTCCAGGGAGACTCCAGACTGTCTGGCCGCCACCTAAAGCAAAGCATGAAGAAGTAAAAGTAGGATTAAAGTACACAGAAGCAGGTAAAACAAAGAGATGGAGCATTTGCAGAAATTAGTTTCTGACATTTTTAATCTAGTTTAATACAGAGATGCTGATAAGTCACAGTATTTTTTTATCTGGAAAAACAGATCTTAGGTTTTTATGTGTGGTTTACTGCTACTTGTTAATTCTGCATCTGATTTTTAAATGTAAATGGCTAAACCTGTGTTGAAGTCTTCAAACTGGCGTGTACAAATTTGTGAGGAATGTGTGTTTGTTTGAGAAATTAGGTTATCCATTTCCAGTGAGATTTTGTTCAAATGAGTGAGAGATTAGTGAATGCATGGAAATGTGACTGCCTTTTCTTATTCCTGAGTGTAGGGGGCAGCTCCCCGCTGAACTTTGATCTGGCTGCAGATTTTCTTCAGGTGCTGTCCAGAATGAAAACAATACCATTACTGCAACACGTGTGTGAATAGTTCTAGTGACATATATTGTCCTATGCAAGTGTATGGAGGGGTAAAAGTGCAATGCTAATTATCAGATAAGCTTTCCACCAAATATTTCTTAGGTTTTCTGTGTTATTTAGATACTTAYATAACATACTTCCAAGGGAGAAAGTCTTTATTTCAGCCATTACAACTCTGGTTCAAATTTATATTCTTGAATATAAACCAGGAAGACTGTTATTCAGGAATTAACCATAAACTGTCTGAAATATTAAAGTGAAAGACAATAGACCATCTCTTCTTCAGGTACCTGGAGATTTTAGGAAATATCACCCAGGAAGGATTAAGTGGAACTAAAAGAAAGCTTTTTACTACTTTGCTGTAAGAAATTGTACAGAGTAATGGTGCACGGTTCTTTCCAACTYCAGTGGCTATCCATCTGCCCTTGTATATGAGAGACAGTATTCCTGTGTGTTCTGCCTGCCACTTTTTATTCTTAAGTTTTTCTCCCTTTTTTTAAAGTCTCTCCCTCTTTCTTTTTTTTGTAAAGTGGGAATAACAATGGAAGAGGAAAAGTTTTTGGAAGATTGAGRAGACTTGGTTGTGACAGAAACATGGTTCTAATGTATGGAATTTATTTTAATATATAGAATTAAATTTATGGTGCACCTCATTGGTCTGAAGTGTGAGAGTCTATGACCTAGATGGCCAGGGCAGGTATTCAGCTGTTGGCAAGTTCACGTTATGCTTAGATTTTTATTATAGGCTATATGCTTGCTATGTTTAATTTTACCCAAATAAATATTTTTCCTTCTGATGACTATAATAATCTGTGGCAAAACATGTGCTTAAATAAAGAAAAGAAAACTGAATTAACAAAAGCTCCAGATTCTACTACTTGTAGAGAAATTAGGTCATGCTTTCTTGAAATTTGAATAGGATAGACAGACTGGCTTAGAGCCTGTGTAAATTGTTACTCTTGTTACTGTGATATTTTGGGTGGCAGTGTCATCAACATGTTGATGGTTTGTTTGCTAAGTCAGATTTTTATAGACCAGATTCTGTATTTCATTAGTTGCTCCAGCGTCTGGCAGAGGGWTTTGAATGAAAACAAACCGCTGGTGATTCAGCTGGGATGAGACATAAGCGGTGCTTTTAAAGGAAATAGACAGACAGTGTTTGCAAGGTATGTTAAGACTGCAGTAAAGTTTTAGGTGTGCCTCAGATATTGGCAGGTTTGTTTCTTTCAGCTTTTCATGGATGCCCAGGAAGCAGTTGTGGCAGCRAGGACACTGCAAGCAGTTTTATGTTGCACATGATGGATCACTTATGTTGGCTTTTCTGAGGACCCGTGTGACTGTTTTAAAGCATTATGYGCAGGAATTCATATTTAGAGTCTCCTGCAAGTGAAGGAAGGTACTGTTCATGACTAGTGATGATWTAAGTGAAAGAACAGGGTTTGTGTTCAATTCTGTTCTTACTGCTGGGGTTTGTAGGTTTTTTWATGAGTATGAAAGTGGCAATACAGCAGAACTTCTAAAATCACAATCTTCTCTCTGATAGTAGTACTCCAGAGTGCATGTGTGCACTGGCATTTCCCTTCATGCCCCTTCGCATCCAAAATCCCCTTCCAGCCACCAGTACTTTAGAGGCTTCTTCAACCCTGAATTGGGCTTCTTTAAAATAAGCTATAATGCAGGTTAATCATCTGTATTATTTAAACTAACTGGACTCATCCAGAAAAYCTATTTCTTACCTCAATGTCTTGCCCTGACAACTAAGATCAAATGGAAAATCCTTGATCTCAGAATACAGTTGGAAAATKGGGTGTGGCAGGGATGTTTGCGATTCCGGTCTTCTTCCACTGATGTTCCTGAATAGATGAATATGTCATAAAAAATGCTGAAGTGGTTTAACTTCCAGTCAACAATTTATGTTAATAAATTATGTTTTAATTTCTGTGATTAAGAGTTTCATCTACCAAAACAATAGGAATTTCTATAAAAACAATAATACGAGGGTGAATTATTAGGTAAGTACTCATTTAGCAGAGCTTTATTTTAGGCCTAAGCAAAATACATGTTCACATCCAAGGATAAATCTGTCAACATWTCTCTTTGTACTTCTAACAGGGTACAACAGTATGTGATAAGGTAGCAAAGATTTTTTTCATTTGTCATRATTAAATAGGATTTAAGTAAGACTGAAAACTTGCAAGTTGGAATACACTAATCTCTTTTGCAATTCTACACTGTGTCTTTCATTTACTTTCTTCRTCACCATGTACTATAACAACTGTGACAGGAAGGTAGGGATATTGAGGGAGAGTAGTCCTGGCTTTTTGATCTTTTCTCACCTCCTTGTCATGTTTTTCCTCATTGTTCTTGTTGCCTAGTGGAAGCAAGAAATTCAGGCTTAATTTGGCCTAYGAAGCAGACATCACAGTGACTCATAGCAGCTTGGAGGAGTAGCTAACTCCCTCCTGAGGCTCATAGTCTGGCTTGGTGTGTGGGAAACCAACTGAAAAGCAAATGGACATAACAAGGAACACGTGTGTGAGGCTCACTGGGCCTGTTAGGAATATTAGAAGAGAAAGAAGTTAGGTACAACTGAGCAACAGGTTTTTTTCATGCATTTGRTAACTGCTTGTGCCGTCATAATATACTTCTCCTGCAGTACCTGAATCTTGAGTTGTTAATTTTAAATGGAATGGATGATTTTACAATATTTTGGTTTATCTTAAGTTTTCTTAATTCTTCAGTTTCTGTATTTCCATGGAGTAAGTGACTGCATTGTTAACTGGCTCTCTGTAATTAGCACAAGCTGCTTGCATGATTCTCTAGAGAAACTGGAACTTCTTTGAAGTGTGTCTAAAATAGCTGAAGTCCAGAAAGTCTGTAGTACATTTATATCCTGGAAGACTAGAAAAAGGGTATTTTAATTTATAGTTATTCCATGGAAATATTTTCCATGGAATCAAAGACATTTCTGTGCACATTTTTTTGGTCCTAAAGTTCTGCTCCTCTGCTTTCATTTACAAGGTTGTTTTTTTTTTTGTTTGTTTTTCCTCCATAATTCTTAGGGGGGCTTCTCACATTTTTAAGCATTAAATCTGACAGAAGGGTAGATGTGGCAGCCATTATGTGTGGTGAAAATATCTAGCTGAAACACGAAGACAAATTCATGTCTATACTGAAGAAATTAATCTGTGATATTACAGCACATTGAATCCACATATAATCAATACCTCAGCTACTGYGTATGACTGGATCAGCATTCTTGTCCAAGAAAAGGAGTTTAGACATGGGTTCTGCAGCTCCTAAAAATACTTATGTTTGAAGAACTGTCTCCACATTGAGGTGGCATAGATATACAGATTCAATTTTTCCTATTAAAAATGCCATTTTTGCCTTCAGGGTCTAACTAGTTCTGTTCTGTACAACAGAAAAAGTTTAGTCTTTTGTTTAGCAAAACAGAAATGTGAAAAGTAATGAGAGACATTTGACATTTCTGCTTTAGAAAATGTTGAATTAATGTTACTTTTTCATTCCATGTTTTCTTTTCAATTCAAATGTCTGCTTTAACATTTAAAAACCTCATTCTCTAACAGTGTGTCTGTTCATCATCCTTAAATGTGCACTGAGGTAACCCCGTCTCTATGGTGCCACAATTTCTGTAACAGTCTGTGATGTTAAGCACTATTTTCAGGATAAATAACAAAATCAGGAGGTGTCTGAGATATCTCTTATTACACAAAAAAATGTCTGGGTAAATGGCAAATGAAATACAGAGTAGTGGCAGAGGTTTATTGCTCAGTCTCAAATATATCAAATCCTTGATCCGCTATACTCTGAGTTCCCAKCAAGAAAATCACTTTATGGCCATGATGTAAATGCAGGGAATAACCAKCTTAATGTGAGAGAAAGAGAGGCATAATGGTTGGAACAAAAGGAKGAAAGATAAGAACATGATTTCTTATCTTTAACATAGACTTCCTTTGTGGTCTTGAACTATTTGTGTTTGTCTTCAAAAAAAAGACAATGCTTGATGTTACTAAGTGTCCTGAAAGCAGTTGTTGTATMAGTGGCTGCCAACAGTTGGTTTAATCTTAAATTAAAAAAAAAAATAGTAATTAAAGTTTATTTAATTTCAGCATGGTGTTTGGGGTTTACTTCTTGCATTATAAATTTTACTGTAGTGAATTAGATCAAACTGCAGTATAGCAAACAGGATACTTTGCATTGCTTCAAGATAGTGCTTTTGTGATTTGATGGTCACTGATCGATTTGATGTCACCTCAGTGCATAAAGTTTTTGTAAATTATTTTACTACTTTTTTCTGCATTTTTTGTGTACCATGACAGGTGTATTCGGCCTTGTTATGCAGTGTTTCATAATTGAACAGATACACTGGAATGTCTCTGAGAAGCTGAGGTTTTTATTACAAGCCAGATTTTTGTAGTCACACTATATTCTAGAGTAACAATGACATTTTTTCTCCTTACTTGTGCTAGCTAAAGCTATGATTTTATTGATTTAGAAGGTATTGGGCATAGTGTTGCTTGGAAATCTCTACAGCCACAGGCAGGTTGT